GGCAGCCCAGAGCGTGAGGTGGGGGAGCAGAGGTCGGGGCTGAGCCCAGCCTTGGGGGTTGGGAGGACAAGCAGTGGCAGGGCACGGTGTCCTGGAAGCCAGCTGCAGCCAAGGGACCTGAGGATTGAAGCCTGGTCATGGAAGCAGGCGTCATGGGTAAACAAGCAAGTCGTGAGAGGCCTGAGAGCAGGGTTGGGGTGGCCATGGAGAGTTCTCTGGGAGGTTCCCCTGCAGAGGGGAGGAAGGAGGAAGGAGGTAGGGCAGGTGCTGGCAGGAGATGGTGCACATCTGTGTGAGGGGACCCAGCTGTAGTGGGAGATCCCAGAGGACCTGGAGATGGCCCTCAGGAGGAGCTCGGGGACCTTACTGGCGGCAGAAGGCAAGAAGGCTGGGCATGTGGTACTGATGCTGGGCACCGAGCGTGGACTTCTCTCCTAGTGTTAGTGGCTCCAGGAGGAGGGACTCAGGGGTGCAGGCAAAGCAGGAGCTCAGCCTGGAACCACAGCTCTACCAGGGTGGACTTGATGTAGGAATTTTATTTAATTTTATTTCAATGTCAGATGAGCTCAGTCACTGGTGTTCCTGTGAGGTCAGCAATTCTTAAGCCATAGGGAGAATTTCCGGGTCCTGGGGGCACTACTGCAGGTGGTACCACTGTGAGGACACTGGGCTGGGCACTCAGGAGAGAGGCTTTGGGAGCTTCCAAGGGAAGGAGGCAGCTACCCCAGAGAAGAGATTGTTCAAGAAGGAAAAGAGAAGAGGCCTTGAACTCTAGCTTTTAAGCAGTGGCAGAGAAAGGGAGATGGTGAGTGTGGGTGCTGCCTGCCCCTAAAGGGACACTGAGAAGTGGACCAAGAGGTGGCAGTGATGCCAGAAGCAGGTGTTTGAGGAGAGAGGTCTGGGCAGGTGGGGCGGCTGGGCAGGCAGTGACCTCCTTGCCTGTTGAGAGCAGCCACAGGGCAGAGAATGCATTCTGCCGGGACAGGAGGGGCCAGAACCTGCAGGGTTGGGGAGCAGGCCTGGTTTCTGCATAATTATTTTTTTAGTTGTGGTGAAATTACAAAATTTGCCATTCTAACCATTTTTCAAGTGTCCATTCACAGTGTTGTGCAACTATCACCCCGATCCACTCTAGAATTTCTACCTCACCCCATAGGGAAACTATCCAGACAGTAACTCTCCACTCCAGCCCCTGGCATTCCCCATCCCACTTTCTACAAATTTGCCTGTTGTAGGGACCTCACAGAAGTGGAATTGCAGTTTGCCCTGTGTCTGGCTTATTTCACTCAGTGTAATGTCCTCAAGGTCCATCTGTGTTGCAGCATGTCAGAGCTTCTCTTTTTTTTAAAGGCTGAGTCATATCCCGTGGTGTGGACAGACCACTTTTTCTTTATCCATTCATCTGTGGCTGGACACCTGGGTTGTTCCCACCCTCTTAAGTGTTGTGAACAGCGCTGCTGTGAATGTGGGTGTGCAGGTGTCCGAGACCCTGCTTTTAGTTCTTCCGGGCATAAACCTAGGGCTGAATTGCTGGGTCGTATGGTAATTTCTGTGTTTAACTTTTTGAAATCTCTGAACTGTTTCCACTATGGCTGTAACATTTTACATTCAGACCAGCAAGGCACAAGGGTTCCACCTCCTCACCAGCACTACTTCTTGTCAATTTTTTGATACAAGCCATCCTAATGTGTGTGAAGTGGTGTCTTACAGTTTGCATTTCTGTCATTAGTGATGTGGAGCATCCTTTCATGTGCTGCCTAACCTTATTTGTATATTTTCTATTGGAGAATGGCTGAGTCCTTTGAACCTTTTTTTTGACTTTTTTTTAAATTTGGTAAAATACACCTAAAATTTACTTTTTTTTTTTTTTTTTTGTCGGGGAGTGGGTAAAGATGGGGTTTTGCCTTGTTTCCCAGGCTGGTCTCAAACTCCTGGCTTGAAGCCAGTCTGCCTATCCCGGCCTCCCAAAGTGCTGGCATGACAGGCGTAAGCCACTGTGCCCAACCCATCGTAACCATTTTGTTGTTGTTTTGAGCCACAGTTTTACTCTGTCCCCCAGGTTGGAGTGCAGTGGCGTGATCTCGGCTCACTGCAACCTCTGCCTCCCAGGGTCAAGGGATTCTCCTGCCGCAGCCTCCCAAGTAGCTGGGATGACAGGCACACCACCACACCTGGCTAATGTTTGTATTTTTAGTAGAGATGGGGTTTCACCATGTTGGCCAGGCTAGTCTTGAACTCCTGACCTCATGATCCATCCATCTTGGTTTCCCAAAGTGCTGGGATTACAGGCGTGAGCCACCACACCTGGCCAAGTTACTTGTCTTTTGTGACAGGTTATTTCACTAAGCATAGTGTTCTCAATTCCTTCATGAATTGATGGACACGGGTTGCTTCCACATTGTTACTACTGTGAATAATGCTGTTATCAACACCTATGTAAGAATTGCTAGATCTTATGGTAATCCTATTAAGTTTTTGAGGAACCTCAAAATAACTTTTTCATAGCAGCTGTACCATTCTGCATTTCTGTCACAGGGTACAAGAGCTCCAGTTTCTCCGTATCCTCACCAACACTCTTAAAAATTTAATTTTGCCGGGCACAGTGGCTCACGCCTATAATCCCAGCACTTTGGGAGGCTGAGGGGCAGATCATGAGGTCAAGAGATCGAGACCATCCTTGCTAACATGGTGAAACCCCATCTCTACTAAACTATACAAATTAGCTGGGGGTGGTGGCACGTTCCTGTAGTCCCAGTTACTCTGGAGGAGGAGGCAGGAAAATTGCTTGAAAACCTGGGAGGCAGAGGTTGCAGTGAGCCTAGATCACACCACTGTACTCCAGCCTGGCTCCTGGTGACAGAGGGAGACTCTCTCAAATTATAGTAGCTGCTCCAGTGGGTTTGAGGTGTATCTCACTGTATTCTCCCTCATGACTCGCGATACTGAGCTCTTACGTGGTGTTGGCTATTTGTGTGTCATCTTTGGAAAAATGTCTGTTCAAATCCTTTGCCCATTCTTGAATCAAGTTTGTTTTTTTGTTGTTGAGTTTTAAAAGTTCTCTGTGTATTCTGCATATCACTTCTTTAAAAGCTTTATAGTCTTGGCTCTTACATTTAAGTCTTTAATCTGTTTTATTTTTATAAATGATGTGAAGTTGGGGTCCACCTTCATTCTTTTGCACGTAGATATACAGGCTTGGTTTCTGATACCCATTTACTGTGTCTTGATTGGCAGAAATTTCAGCAGATTTCAAGGAGCCACCATCCCTGCCAGGGAAGGAGAAGCCATCCCCAACCACAGTCTGTGGGTCCCCACTGGCAGCACAGCCATCACCCTCTGCTGAGCTCCCCCAGGCTGCCCCACCCCCACCGGCCTCACCCTCCCTCCCTGGGCGTCTGGAGGACTTCTTGGAGAGCAGCACAGGGCTGCCCCTGCTGACCAGTGGGCATGAGGGGCCAGAGCCCCTTTCCCTCATTGATGACCTCCATAGCCAGATGCTGAGCAGCACTGCCATCCTGGACCACCCCCCGTCACCCATGGACACCTCAGAATTGCACTTTGCCCCTGAGCCCAGCAGCAGCATGGGCCTGGACCTGGCTGATGGCCACTTGGACAGCATGGACTGGCTGGAGCTGTCATCGGGTGGTCCCGTGCTGAGCCTGGCCCCCCTCAGCACCACTGCCCCCAGCCTCTTCTCCACAGACTTCCTCGATGGCCATGATTTACAGCTGCACTGGGATTCCTGCTTGTAGCTCTCTGACTTGAGACTGGGGGTGGGGAAGGGGCTGGGGAGTCAGGGTACTCCAGTGCGTGGCTCTCCTGCGTGATTGGGGCTCTCCACATGGTTGTGAGTCTTGACAATCACAGCCCCTGCTTTTTCCCTTCCCTGGGAGACTGGAACAGAGAAGCCCCTACTCCTGGTTCAGGCCTACCTAGGGCAGAGGAAAGCAGCTGTCAAGAAGCAGCCCTGGTTCTCACGCTGGGGTCTTGGACACCTGGTCAGGGCCAGGGCCATTTCAGCTTGACCTCCTTTTTTGAGGTCAGGGGGCACTCACTGGCTACAATTTGGCTAAGGTAGGTAAAGCCCAGCCAGGATGCTTCTCTTCTGGCCCAGGGCTGAGACAGGTCAAGGGGTGAATCTCCTTCCTTTCTCTTCCCCGCTTTGCTCTGAAGGGAGAAATTAGCCTGGGCTGCTACCCACCCCCATTCCCGATGTCTGCCAACCCCAGGGTCCCAGGGCTCCCAGCCATTTTAGTGTCTTGGTGTAATGTAACCATTTAGTGGTTGGTGGCAAAAATTTTCTGTACAAGTGTATATACCTCTATTATATATCGACATACATATAGACATATTTTTGGGGGGAAGGAGATGGGTGCCACTCCCTCCCATCCTACTTTCACAAAAGGGCCTGGAAGGCCATAGCTCCTGGGGGCTGGATGCAGGGTTACCCTTCAGCTGGGTGCCAGGCTGGTGCCCAGCCTGGCATGCAGCTACCCAGGCCTACCCATCACGTGTGGTTGACAGGTAGACACCCTGCCACAGTCTGTGCCCCACCTGCCCTGCTTCCTGGCTCTTTATCAGTGCCACGAGGGCAGAGGTGCTTCCTGGCCTTCCTGCCAGGAGCTCTCCACCCACTCACATTCCGTCCCCACCGCCTCACTGTAGCCAATGTGGCCCTGAGACAGGAGGGGATTTGGGCCCAGCTTCACCCCGCTGTGGGGCTGAGAGGTGGCGTTGTGGCGACCTGCCCTGGGGCCACTGGCTTTGTATTCTGGCCTGACTCGTAGGGGAGTAGGGATGGAGTCACCAAAACCAGTGCTGGAACAAACACGGGGAAGGTGTGTGAACTTTTTGAAATAAAAACAAAAACACAGGCCTGACAGACAGTCCAACTTATTCAGTCCATAGAAGGGGTGGGTGGCACAGCTGGGTCCTGGGCCTGTTGTGTCCCACATCTGAGAGGCCAGGCAGTGCCAGACCTTGGATCTGAAGCCAGCCGGTACTTTCTCAAAGACAGTTTATTTATAAACCAGAGTCCAGGAACCTATTAGCTCATCCCCACCCCCTTCCCTCTTCCTGAGCAAAGATGTGGCTCCCTACCTCCTCAAAGGTTTTTGGTACAAACTGTGGTTTGGGCCCTAAGGACCCTGGTGGGGCAGGGCACCCTCTGCTCCCACCACCTGGGATGTGCTGGGAAAACTGGAGGGGGGGAGCCTGAAATCCCGGGGCCCTAGGCAGGGCTCTGGAACACCTCTTCCCCAGACCCTGCAGCCTGGGCCACCGCAGGCCCAAGGCTGGCCAGGGTGAGGAGGAAGGGGTCACCCGTCCACATCCCAGCTGAAGAGGTGGTGCTTCACCAGCATGTCTCGGACGCCCTCCTTCAGGGGCTGCTGCGCCTGCAAACAGGGCAGCTCCTCACCTCACAGGCCTTGGGCATGGCCGGGGCCAGGGTGGTTCCTAATCACTGGCACCAGCACTCTGGGTCCCCACCTTGGCCACCCCAAGACCTGTTTGGGCACCTCCATCAGTGCAGGCCCAATGAGGCCCACACCACCCACCTCTCTCTTTGCAGGGAGCTCCCAGTCCTGGGAGAGGCTGAAGGCAAAGCAGCAGAGGACTCTAGAGGTGAGGAGTGGGGCAGTGAGGCTCCTGTCACCCCAGCCAGCCCTTCCTACCCCACCTCCATCCCCAACCCCAGGCCTGGCCCAGAGGCCCAGCTAGGTCCTCACCGGAGCTCACACTTGATCTGGACCCAGCCCGGGCTGCGCAGGAAGGACCAGGGCTGGTACCACTTCTCCACTGTGGGCAGGCTGGAGCAGAGCACCTCCAGCCACAGGTGCAGCACCTGCTCACTAGGGACACGGCCAGGAGTGGGAAGCAGGGGCAGCTCCAGGCCCTTCTGGCTACAGCCATAGTGGGGGCCTCTGACCTGTCCCTCAGCTCCCAGACCACCCTCTTCAGGGAAGGACCTGGGCGCCACCCTCCCCCCCCACTCCAGGGCTCTCCTCCAACCCCTTTTCCACACTCACTTGAGCCCCACGCAGATCAGTGAGCGGAGCTTCACATCCATTTGTGCGTGCACTGCATCGTGGGTCACGTTCACAGACTGCACAGCCTGGGGACAGCACAGGCAGCTGTCACTCGGGCTAACCCCAGAGAGGTCTCTAGGGTCTGGCAGAGGAGGCTCCCCTTACCCGGTAGAGCAGCTCCTCCGGGGTCAGGACCTTGCCATCTTCGTCCAACCTGAGGGGGCACCAAAGCTCCTGGGGTGCCGGGGCTGGGTCAGGCCTCATTCTCCCACCACAGGCGACCCCAGGCCCATTTACCTGAAGGTCTTACAGAGAACCAGGCGGGAATACACGGAGGCAAAGTCTCTCTCGACCTCCCGGCCTGCAGCCTGTGAGGACAACACACGGTATGAGTGCAGGGACAGGAAGATGCTGGCTCAAAGCCCTGGGGCTAGGTATCTGTCACCACCCTGCCAGCTCTTCCCATCCTCTTGGTGGGGCTCAGGGGCAGGAAGAGCCTAAGATGGGTGCTAGGGGGCACAGCAGGCGTGGTGCAGGGTAGGAAACATGGGCCCAGCCACTGACTTACCTCCTCGATAAACAGCCAGGGGTGGCAGGCACCCCCAAGCAGGGATGGCTTCTTCAATCCATGTTCGAACAGGGCCTTAAGGGCTGGGCAAAGGGTCCCTCGCACAAGGTCTGTGACCCCCTCAGTCACTGAGTCGTCCCCCGCGATGGAGTACTAATAAGAGTGATGGGTGTGAGAAAGCCATGCCTGACGCCTGCAGCCTGGCACCTTCCCGTCCTCTGTGCCATGCTACAAGCCAGGACTCCCTGGGGACACAGGCCAGCCTGACTAGGAAGGCGCCAGCCCTGCCCAGCCTTCCCTTACCTCTTTGCTGCGCTCATCCAGGACTTCCACGAACTTGGCTGGAAACCAGCCTGCAGGAAAAACAAGCCCTGTGAGGCACAGCCAGGTTGCTGCCCCGATGGCTGAAGACAGGACAAACACAGCCTGCAGGCAGGCCACCAGCCCAGCTGCCTCGGGAAACCTCAAGCCAGGCCAGGGGTATGGAGGAGAATGGCTACCCCAGGTCTTTGTCCTCTGTGCCCACCCTTCCTCCCTCTCCCAGCTCAAGAGCAGACCAAGGCCCCACCTCGCAGGCCGTTCAGCTCCCCTACCCAGCAGTGCTCGTCCTTCTGAGACACGATCTGCACAGGAGGAAAAACAGGAACCAAAGCTGGGTGCCAGGGGCCAGCACCTCCTGCACCATCAATACGACTCCTCAGCAACTAGGCCAGGCCAAGACCCCCACGTGTTCAGAAGAGAAGCTCTTGGCAAGGAAAGGGAGGGATGGGGCTTGGAGGGAGGCTGGGGAACCAGCCCTAGCCTGAGGACCTCGCAGTCCCTCGCCCCCACGCACTGTGATGATGTCATTCTTGCGGAAGCCCAGCTCGTCGTCGTCATGCCGCTCAAAGTCCAGCAGGGCCTTGGCTCGGCGCCGGTGGCTGCGTGAACATGCCACGTAGTTCTCATGGTCCCGCTGGTGGCTCTCCATGCTGTAGTCTGGGGTCAGCTCCTGCCACAGTGAACACAGGCCCCTGAAGCGGGAGAAGCCTCAGCACCACCAAGGGGGTTGGAGGAGTTAGGGCCGAGTTTGGTACCGGCCCAGGGTACTGGTGACTCACCACGTTGCAATTTTTGGGGTCTGTGCACTGGAAGTGGTGGGCCACGCGCAGGATGGCTTCCCGGAGGTCGGCCACCAGTTCCGTCTGCTTGATGTTCTTGGCCTTGAGCACCTCCAGGTCATCCTCCCCTAGGAGGCCCAGACAGCAACGGTGACCACAGCCCACCCCAGGTGTGTGAGGACAGATGCCTGCATGCTCACACTGCTGACACCCGCAGGGCTCTCACCGAAGAGCAGGGCAGTGATGGTGGACTTTCTCCGCTGGGTCCTGCGGCGAACAACCTGCACCACGGGGAGTGAGTCAGGGCGGCCCGGGCCCCTGGGCGGAAGAGAACCCACCACCCTCTGCTTATGCTCTCTCATCTGAAATGGCCCGAGGCCGGCTCCGACAGTTGAGAAAGGAATGCCCTCTTCCCAAACCATGCCAGGGGCAGAACCCGAGACACACAAAGCCCAAGGAGGAGTGGGTCACCCCACAGCTGTGGTCTGACTGGGCCCCTGGTGCCAGGCTCGGGGGGCAGAGCAGGAAGGGCTGGTCCATTTCCCACAGCCCTCATACTCTGAGCTTCCTCAAGGTGACCCCTCCCCCCTGCATGCCGTGGGCCCAGGTGGGGCTCCCCATCCTGGGCCACCTGAGAGAGGTTGGTGAGGGCACCAGCCCCCAGCAGCTGGCCCTGGTCTGCAATGAGATAGGCCAGGTGCTTGCGGCGCTGGGTCTCCACGGCCACATCGGTGAGGGAGCCAGCCAGCCGCATGGCCACCCCGAGAAGCAGCTCCACATCCTCCATCTGCGACGGGATATCCGAGAGTGTGTTGAAGATGGAGGCTGAGTTCTCTGACTGTATCAGCTCTTCCTCCTGGGCCATGCCAGAGCAGGATGGGGGAGGAGGTTGTCACTGCAGGGACCTGCCACTAAGCTAACTTCAACCCATCTTCAGGGACCCAAGTTGCCTTGGCTCGGTCATCAGGGACCAGGGGGGCTGGTCTTGCCTGGCCTAGGGAGGTCTCTCCCTCCCTTCCCAATCTCGGGCTCCTACTCTTCAGCCTGAAGTGGGGCTCTGGGGACAGCAGGGCCCTGGAGCACCTTGAGATGCAGCATGCCCAGTGTGAGCTGGAACAGCACCCGGGAGCCCTCGTAGAAAAACAGGTCCCAGATTCGCAGTAGCAGCTTGATGTCTACCACGCTGGCGAAGGCCGTGAGGAACCAGTGCAGCGTGATCAGGGACAGCTCTGTAAACACAGGTGCCGAAGCCCCAGGGAGGAGGTGGAGGAAACCTCCCCAGGACTGGAGTGAGGTCCTCCCTGCTCAAGAGGAAGGCAGGGAGGCAGGGAACACCAGAGAACAAAAGAGCACCAAACACCATGGGGCAGGGTACTGTGTCCCATCCCCACTTGGCCATCCACCCGAGGCCTCCACGCTGCAGCATGGGAGCCGGTGGCGCAGAAGCCCCTTACCGATGTCATGCTCTTGGAGCAGTTTGTCCAGACGAGGCAGGTACTGGACGATGAGGTGGCGCAGGACGCGCTGGTCAGTCTGGACGCCTAGCAGGGTCGTGCTGAAGTAGGAGGCGGGGAGCAGGTCCTCAACAATGGCGCACATCATCCAGAAGGCATCCTCCTCCTCCAGGAACAGCAGGAGGCAGGCGGCTACCTGGCCAGGGCACGGGGACAAGGGCCCTCTACCCAGGTCTTTGTACGAATTAGAAAAGGCACCCCCACCCTAGGGAGAACAATTAGCAGAAACCTCTCGGGGGCAAACATGCTGGAATGCAGGCCTTCCTCGGGCTGGTTTCCTTGGCCTGTATCAGTTTCATGTTCCTCATTGGGCGGGGGGGTCCCTCTGCTTGAATAATGGGCAGCTCCCCCCTGATCTCCTTGGGGACTCCCCTGTCCCCCTTCCTGCTGCCTTTTCCGGGGTTGTGCTCACCATGCCCGTGCCCTGGCAGTAGCCAATCTCTGGGTAGAGCCAGGCTAGGGCCCGGAGCACCCTGCGCAGACGGGGTACCCCGATGCTGCCCATGCTGGCGAAGCAGGCGTTGCTGGGCATGGTGCGGAGCAGGTCCTTCTCGATCTGTCAGGCAGCCACCAGCACCCACAACGACAAGACCTTGTGACACCCTGGGAGGGAGGCAGACCCCAGGCAGGCTTCTCCCCCAGGAATGGGGATTCCTTGTGCTCCTGGACAAGGTCACCCTCCTCCCTTCAGGGTCAGCTCCCAGCTAATGAGGAGCCGGGACATCAAATCCACCTGGGAGCTTCATGCCAGACCGACTGACTGAGAACATGTGGCCTGAGGCCTGGAGTCTATATTTAGAGTCCCCATCTGTTCCTACAATGGACCCGGGCTTAGGAACCCCATCTCCAAGACCTTTCATGGCACTGATGGCCTAGAGAGGACCCAGGAGGGAACAAGTGTCCTCCAGGCACTTGTGGGTGAAAGGGTAGTCTCCCCTCAAAACAAGGGCACACTCTCAGAACCCCAGGCAGACCTCTTCCCTCCTGTGAGCCTAGATGCCTCCAGCTCTTCCTGCACAGCACCACCAGCCTCACCTGTTTGGCAGCAATGGTCTCATCGTTGGAGCTGTTCTTCACAATCTCGCGATAGGACAGCTCAGAGTTCTTCTTCTTCTGCAGGGCTCCAGACAGCCGCATCCATAGCTGAAGGAAGGGAGCCAAAAGGACACTCAGTTTTTCTCGTGGCACCTGATCACAGGGCCAAGACCCCCTCAATCCCCTGTGGCCATCTTACCTGTGGCCTCATGCCATGTGGGATGCCAGCCAGCACCAGGGAGCGGAGCTTCTCAGAGCGGGGTAGGGAGACTGCAATCTTGTCCCAGGTGAGATCCCCCACGTCGTGGTTATGGGTAAACTCCAGGTGGGCCTGCCACCGCAGCCTCTGCGGAGCATCCTCCATCAGAGGGGAGCTCGCCAGTGGACTAGAACCAGGCTCACCACCTTCTGCCAGGAGAGAGCCACGGGATATGGCAGTGAGCAGAGGACGAAGGAAGCAGCATGCTCCATTGCTGTTCTCCAAACAGCCAAGCCTGTCTTCAAGAGGGCCTGAGCTTCTTGGCTCCAAGCCAGATCGCTCCCCCTAGATCCAGATTCCTACAGCTAATGGCTTTCTGACATGCACCTTACGACGAGCAAAACTCTTCACTTTCTCCTCAAAGCCACTCCTACCATAGTCCTACCCGGATTCCGAAATGACACATTCTCCTGCTGCTCAGCCTAAACCTTGGAGTCACCTCTGGCTCCTCCCTCACCCAGACCCCACACTCAGTCCATCAGCAAACACACAGGATTCTTTTACATCTCACCACCCCTGACCACAGCCCTTGTACAAGCCATTGTCCTTCATCCGGATGGCTGCAGTAGCCCTCTCACTGGCCTCCATGTTGCTCCCCTTACCTCCCAAAGGCTGTTCTCCCCACAGCCATAGTGACCCTTCCAAAATGCAAGTCAGATCATGTCATTCCGGTTACTCCCTCCATTCCAATGACACAGTCCTCCTTGTTTTTCCCCAAAAAAGGCCACTACAGGGCCTTTGCACCTCTCCTTCCCCAGCTGTGCCCATTCCCTGGCTTCCTTATGTATGAGTGACTACCCCTCTTCCCTATCCCTGGAAGTATTTTTTTTTTTTTTTTTTTTTTTTTTTTTTTTTTTTTTTTTTTTTTTTTTTTTTTTTTTTTTTTTTTTTTTTTTTTTGGACGGAGTCTTGCTCTTGCTGCCCAGGCTGGAGTGCAATGGCACGATCTTGGCTCACTGCAACCTCCGCCTCCTGGGTTCAAGAGATTCTTCTGCCTCAGCCTCCCAAGTGGCTGGGACTACAGGTGCGCATCTCCACGCCCAGCTAATTTTTGTATTTTTAGAAGAGATGGGGTTTTTTAGCATGTTGACCAGGCTGATCTCAAACTCCTGACCTCATGATCCTTCCGCCTTGGCCTCCCAAAGTGCTAGGATTACAGGAATGAGCCACTGCGCCTAGCCTCCCTGGAAGTATTTTCACTGCTTTTCTCGCCCCAGCATATTACATGCTGGTTTGCTGCCTACCTCCCTCACTAGAATCAGAACTCCATGTAGTCGAGACAACCTTCAGTTTTGTTCAGGTCCTGGGGATGCAGCTGTGGAGAGTATACCACCCACAGTTGGGTTCATGAGCTATGTGTTGAATGAATGAGGACAAGCTCTCCTGTGGCAACCCAGCAATCCGTGTGTGAACTCCACAGGCAGCCTCGTCCTTATTCACCTGAAAGCCAATCCGTCAGCTCAGCTTTCAAAGATACCAATTTTGATGACTTTACAGTAAAATGCACAAATGTTAGATGTACATTTTGGTGTATAAACAAATGTCTAAATGTTGTCCCCATCAAGCAATCTCAATTCCATGTATAACAGTGACCCAGACAAACACAGACCTTTCCATCACACAGCAAGCTCCCTGTGTCTCTCAACCCAAACCTTTCACCTGCAGATATCTGCCTAGGAATCAGAAGAACAAGAAAAACTTTTGTCGGAACTGGAAACATGAGTGACCCAAAGGTGATTAGCTACAGTCAATTAAAATGTCCCAGCCACAGTTCTGGCCTGGCAGATGGCCTTCCCAATAGCCCACTCAGGACCAAAAGATCCACTTACAGTAAAAAACAGAAGTGGGCTAGAGACTCAGTTATAGGAAAGTGGTTATCCAATTACTGTAAGTTCATTATAATAGGATATTATGCAGCCATTGAAAATATGCTTTTTCTGAGACAGTCTTGCTCTGTTGCCCAGGCTGGAGTGCAGTGGCGCAATCTTGGCTCACTGCCTCCTGGGTTCAAGTGATTCTCTTGCTTCAGCCTTCTGAGTAGCTGGGATTACAGGCACCTGCCACCACGCCTGGCTGATTTTTGTATTTTTAGTAGAGACCGGGTTTCACCATGTTGGCCAGGACGGTCTTGAACTACTGACCTCAAGTGATCCACCCACCTTGGCCTCCCAAAGTGCTGGGATTACAGGCATGAGTCCAGCCTGAATTTTTCAACTTCTCTGCAATGAACACGGTTGCTTTTATTATCAGGTAAAGATCAGTAAAATTTATCTCAAAAAAGGCAGAGGTCTCCCAGACTTATAACAGTATCACCCTCAAATATACTCTGTCCTTAAATCTGGAACACTGACACATCAGAACTTAGCCATCATGTGCCGTGTAATTCCACTCATGGGAGTGGCATCCTCCCCAAACAGCAGCAGCAAGATGCCATGCAAGGGCTCCATTTTACCTTCCTTGTCCACCCGGAAACCAAACTCATCGTAGTAGAACTCTGGTTGCTCTGCTGACTCTTCCTTCTAGAATAAGGATGAGGAATGAAGTCAGTTGTCTGTTCCCCTCGCTGGGGCCCTCAGGCCTGAAAGATGCCACCCACAGGGTTGCCTGCTAAAATCCCACCCAGCCTTCAAGCTCAAATCAAAGGCACAGAATCCTTCTCGGAACTCAACCTCAACCGTCTCTGAACCTTCTTCTAGCATTTTCTCAACCTTCTTCTACAATTTTCCTTGTTCTTCTCAGAGGTGGGTCCCCTTCATATGGCAGCATAGGAGTGCAGCAGGCTGGTGCCTGGCTAACTGCTATACCTGCATGTACTTGGCCAAGGTCTCCTGGGGCCATATGCTCGGAGTCAGGGCTGAGAAAGGGCCACAGGCAGAAGGTGTATGGCTTCCTAAAACCAAACAGGACCAGGAGAACATTCAAGAAAATGCAGAGGCAGGTGGGAGTACATTTTCTCCACCTCTCTTATCTGGATGGTATTTTTTTTTTTTTTTTTTTTTTTTTGAGACAGA